GTTCGCTCCCGTTCGCCCCTTGAACCCAGGTTTTATGTCCCGCGGTCCAGTCGCACTCGCTGCATCTCGCATCCTGTTATATTGTGCGAAGGAACAGCCGAGGATATCTGCCGCATTAAGGAGCCCTCACATCGACCGTCCGCGGTGAAATTTACGGACGCGAACGCGACAAGGAGCGTCAGTTTGATTGCACACCCCCGTACCCGCGAATTCTGCCCTGCATTTATTCAAGTGGGTATCAACGGCTCGCGCATAAACCACGCGCCCTTCCAACCGGAATTCATGGGAAGCCCTGATGAGAAAGGCCTGCTAGATGTTAAGCTATATTCAATTCAGTTGGATACGTTTCGAATATTAATGCCGTCATTGTTAGATGTTAATGGCATTGTTAGGGAATCGTAATGTCGTTACTAGAAAATATTAATATTGTAATTATTAGACGTTAATGTTATTGTTGTTGGACGTTAATATTAGTGGTATTGAATATTAATATTGTTATTAGCGAATGTTAACATCATCATTTGGAAATGTTAATAGTATTATTAGAAAATATTAATATTATTATATAGTAAATATTAATATCATTATTATTGAATGTTAATCATTTTAATATATCATTACTAATAAGTTCGGATCCAAGTATGACATTCCTTAATTCTGAACCTTTAATCACGACTCATCTCGAATGAGCATAACTCCAGGGAAGACACTTCTGTTCGATTTAAATACACTAATATAACAGTTTCTAACAACCAATAATGGCAGTTAAATTAATAATCACATTCATTTGCACGTTGAAGATAACGATATTCATAAAAAAAAGTATCCTAACACTAAACTTCGAAGAAACACAAACATTTCAGTTGCCAACAGAGGAGTCAACAAATCGCCGGTATTATTACTCGTATTTACTCCATCAACGTACTAAAAATTTCAAGAAGCAATGACAGTAGTTGATGCAAGTAATTCGGCATTATTAAAAACCATCGAAACGGAAGGTAGAATGTGTAATTGAATCTCAAAGGGTTCGAAGAGGTTGCCACAAGAAATCTGCAACTTTTTGCTCCCCGCCGATACTTGAGCGGTAAGTAATCATGGAATCCAATCGCTTTTATGCAAGGGAACTTCCAACGAATTGCGAAACGCACTCGCCAACTTTTGCGTTACCAATTTTTCTATTACGTTACCAATTACGCGAGATTGCACGGCCGAACGTAGAATACGCGCGCGTAAGTGCACCGACGTATTTACGGCGGCGAGAGTAAGTGGCTTTCTCTGTGCGTGTGTATGCGTGTGTGGGTGCGCGCGCGAGCGCGCGTGTGTAGGTACGGGTCGCTGGAAGCTTGATACAATATTGCTACGTCAATGAAACGCCGTCGAAAGCCACCGGAAGTCGGCGAGCATGGAAGTTACGAGTCTCCTCGAGCATCGTGGGCGGACATTAGTAACGATAGACGAAAAGTATGAAACGCCCTTACGTCTGTGTGCTTACGTCTGTGACGAAAAAAAAGGAACAATCGACTCTGTGTCGCGAGCTTGCACCCATAATGCCTCTAGATATATTGCAATGGCGCGCTGCTATTTCACGGAAAAAAGGGAACGTTGATGTACAGTGGTATCTCCATCG